ATCGTATTATTCATGAGATCGTATTATACATGAATAAATACGGTATCTGTATTTGTATGTATGGGTATGTGTATGCATCTATAATTTTCAGCAAGTTTATAAAAATAATAATTATTATTATAATTATATACACATATTTTGTTGCTGTGTTTTTGTCTTAATTTTTGCAGGTGTGCAGACAGATGTCGAGTGTATTGTCTTTGTGTGTGTCTGTGTTTTCTTGGTATATATCTCACGTCTTCTAATCTCTTTTTCAATCTTTCCCATGACATTTCAACTTTTTCTTCTTTCTTTTTCTTATTCTCTAGATTTACTTCTTTTAAAAAAGTCACTGATGATGAAGAAACTAATATTAAGTTCTGTTTTCTACTGAAGTGACAAGAAAAAAGTATTAACGCAAGAGGGCCAAATAATTTTGCATGCTCAATTTTTCAGGTTTTTTTTTTTGTTAAAAAAGTTTAAAATAAGCAATAAACTTTGTTCCACTTCACGATTGTGTCCCACTTGTTGTTGATTCTTCACAGAACAAATAAATTTTATATGTTTATGTTTGAAGCCTGAAATGTTACAAAATGTTGAAAAGTTCAAGAGGTTTGAAAACTTTCGCAAGGCACTGTAGCTTCTTAAATTCCAACATGCAATTTCTCTATTTGTAAATTTGAATGTTTTTCACAGTTATCAAAGCAAAAGATGTTCTGAACTCACCAACATTTGGAGCAGATCCTGGAGGGTTAGGCAGTTCTTTCCTGACTCGGCTGGGTGGCTGGTCAGAGGACACAGGTCTGTCCGTGTTCGTCTCTACGATTTCATACAAACTCTTCAGCAGCTCAGAAGGATCTTGGGTCTTCAAACTGAAAATCTGATGTCTGCACCTTTTGATCAGGTCTTGTAAAGGTTTGCAGAAACTTGTTGCGTTCTGTTTGGGTGTTAGAGTCAGAACCAGTGTCCGGTCAAAGGAGCGGGCTCTGAACAGTTCGAGGACTGAGCAGAGTTTCTGCTTGTTGTCCTCAGTGAAGACATCAGGCTGCACAACCACCAGGAACACCTCAGGTCCAGGATCTGACAGACTCACAAAGTACTCCACATGTTTTTGGAGCTTGTTTGGAGGAACCTCAGCATGGAGCAGATCTGACGGTGTGTTGATGCAAACTACTTTTGTCATTCCGATCAATCTGTTGGCTGTCTTAGAGGAGCTGGGTTCCTGMTGAGGGTTGAAGGCAGAATTTCCCAGAATCAAGTTTGCAACTGAACATTTGTCAGACCAGTTGTTTCCCAGCAGAATGATCCTCAGCTCAGACACTGAAACATCAATAAGAAACATCTCACAAAAAGTCTCAGAAAATAACTAAGAAAACATGTAACTAATTTTTTAAGTCAGATCTAAAGCAGAGATTCTTAACCTATTGGCTGCAGCCCACAATTAGGCCGTGACCACCACCTTGAGGGCCTCAAAAGAACAACAGTTTTTAACTTTGGGCCGCAGAGGAGCGTGGGACCACATTGATTTTGAATAAGGTGCAATACACTTTCTCACCACTAGTAGCAGTAGTGCACCACTCAGATGTTTAACAACTTTTTTATTATGTAGAAGAAGAACCTTAGAAACCTGCTGAGAATGGAAACTTATTTTAAACGAAAAGTAGAAGCAAAAATGAAAGTAACTCGTCAAAAAAACACCAAAGTTTGTCACTAATATGAAGAGCAGCTTCTGTTTTTACCATGTAATGTTTGAAAAGTTCAAAACATTATCAAATACAGTTGCAGATACAGCTATATTT